GTGGCATAAATAACTCCGACATAATTGTAATCTTCAAATGAATACCATTTAAATTAGGTATCTCCACTATTTCGGCATAAATTTTCTATATTTAAGTTTAAAATGAATTTTTTACAACGAAAAAACATTCTTGAAGATTTTATTTTATCTTTAAAAAAAAGTTTAATCATTAAATGTATGATTTCCATTAATTAAACAATTGTGCTGTATTTCAGATAGAAACTATATACATTTGATTGTCAAATTTAATTTCAAATTTTTAAGTTTTCTTAAAATCAGCCATTTTCTTAATTTTAAGAAATTTGTAAACAATCACAAATTTATCGATTTTGAAAATATTTAAAAAAATTTCTGACACGTTATTTTAGTAAAATTAAAAAAATTAAAGTTAAAGTAATCTGATTTGAAAGAAATCTTTCTTACTTATAGCATAAAAAATAATATACAACCAATTATTAACGAGCGGTCCTGTTCATCTGATCAAACTATTGATGGATTGTTGAATGACGAACCAATGACAGCTACTACTGATGACCATAAATGACATAATTTTTAAGTTTGAGTTTTTAAAAAAATATTCTATTTGAGTATGACACACACTAATGGAAATACAATACAAAAAATAAAATTATTTAGTGAAATAGTAAATGAAAAAAAGAAAAATTACTTTAAAATTTAAAGTTTACACTTTTAAAGCTGAACGGAAGATACAACCTGTAAGAAACGAAATGTTATGAAAAGGCCACGTAAAGGGACAAAACCCTTATATCACGTGACCTTGTTATAATAATGGCAATTTCTGTATATCATACATGGAAATAAATAATGTATTAAGTAAAAAAATACAACATAAAAAATTATTTTTTAAAAAAGTAGCGCAACTAAATTTATTAAACTTAGCAATTTTGGACTCGTAATTTTTTTCCCACTTAATTACTACATCCCCTCGAGGAACCCTCCTAATACAGAGCTTTACACGATTTTAAACTATTATAAATTATTCTAATTAAAATTTCTTAAAAAACGAAAAAATTCTTGTAAAAATTAATTATTCATCAGAAAAAATTTCTTCAGACAATAATATCCTTAATATTACTTATTTACAAAAGCAATTAAAAGCTTTTCTAATTAAGTAATATCATAGTTTTATTGGATTCATTATTTTTCAATTCAGAGCAGATTTTCAGTTAGATAGCTCAAATTTGAAAAGAAAATTAGGTTATTTACCATCATCGAAGACTCCTACCTTTAACAAAAAAAAAAAAAAAAAATTCAGGAACCAAAAAGGTTTTGGGCGAAATTTCATTAAATTAAGTAAATGTGGGATAACATATTTTAAAAAATTATATTTTTTACCAAAATTTTCTAAAAAAATATATTTCAAACATAATTTCATTCATTTGTGAATAAGTCCTGAAAATCTCATTAAAATCGGACAATTACTTGATTTTTACAAGAATTTCCAAATCAATATGTTTTCAACGGAAAAAAATGGAAAAAAAATGTTATTTTCTGTGACGCCGCGATGACGTAAACAAAAGAAGAATTAAACGAAAATTTCGAACGTGTTAGAAAGGATTAAAAAATTCAAAAAATAATTAAAAGATACTTTGATTTTACATCTTAATAATAACATAAGCATTTTGACGATAAAACTTTATTTTAGTTAAGTTTGTGGCATTTTTCATTACGCTATATGCTGTTTTCCCGCGAAAACCGTGAACATGTTTAATTTAAATATACGAGTTGTTTATACAGTATTATAAACAAGTCCTATTGCATTAGGCACAAGAGTTCATATATAGAACGTTTCTCCCAGAAGTTCTATTCCTATTACATGGTGTAAACAATCAGTAAAATGTTAAATGGGAACTTGTAAACCAGACCAGTGATGACACGAACGAATTGAAATATTTAACTGAATCATAATAAGATTAAGTTTCATTTCAATGGCTTATTGAAATTAACTTCAATGCTATATAACCTGAACCGTCAGTGACACAACGGTACATGGGTAGTCACTATCTATCTATCTATATCTATCTATATATATATATATATATATATATATATATATATATATATATATATATATATATATATATACACACATATATATATATAAATAATAATAATATATATATAATAATAATAATAATAATAATAATAATAATAATGGACTCTCCCGTCGGTTTCGACGGATGAGGATCTGCAAGCTTATTGATTCAATTATGAAAGTTTATGCGCTAATGTTAAGTGGCATTTAAGACCCGCTAGTGATTTACAAAGGAGGCCACATATGGAGCAAGTGTGAGGATTGTGAGATGAGATCACTGTTAGATGGGTTGACCTTTTAGATCTTGAAGATGATTGAGACAAGCAGATTGAAAATTTCTGAGTCCACTAAAATACATTGATCTCCATTCTACCCGCTCCAAGGCTAGGCGCTCAAGGGTATTATGTGGTATATTGACTGCTGACAAGTTGCTTTTCAGCTTGTCTTTGTATCTTAGCCATGGACGTCCTACATTCCTGTAGCCCTGATCTAACTGGCTGTACATTAGGATCTTTTAGGTATATATATATATATATATATATATATATATATATATATATATATATATAGATAGATAGATAGAAATGTGTGTATGTATAGTTAAGTAATGAAAATTTTGTTAATCCGTATGGATAATACCAAGAAGGATGTAATCCAGAGAGCTCAATATGAAACCAGAGCAACAATTAATTTAATTTTATTACAAAACTGACAACCTTAAGGGTCTACTGATTTTTTTTTACTCTTGGAAATGAGATCTGATGAATCAGGAAAAAAAAACACATACCTGGAGAACTGAAATATAATCAATAGACCCTTAATTTTGTCTGTTTTCTAATTAAATTATACATACATACATACATACATATATATATATATATATATGTGTGTGTGTGTGTGTGTGTGTGTGTGTGTGTGTGTGTGTGTGTGTGTGTGTGTACTTCTATATGAGACTGTGCGCGTCAATGTGTTGTTTGTGTAGTTTTCAATAGTAAATTACGAATTAGCGAAATTTCTTAGTGTGTGCGTCTGAGCTTCAGAATAGTCAAAGAAATGATTTTGACATTTGTTGATGACCATTCCGTTTTCTTTGACATTACCGGAGGAAAGTGTCCTCTCCAGTCTCTTTTTCCTGTCAACTTCCTCTATTTTGTTTTTCTTCTCAGTTCCTCTGATCTCTTTATAGTTCGCTACGTGACAATTACGCGATTTCCTAAAGTCGATGTTTCCACGCTTCTTTCAAATAAGTATAAACAACCAAGAATAGAAACCAGAATTTTTTCAAATCTCTGAAATGAAGTTCAGTGACGTTTAGGTTCAGGAATTAATTCCTAAATGTCCTTAGTTCAACGCTCACGGATGCTTTAGTAAATTGGCCTTGGGTAAAAATTTACACTTATTAAATTATACACCGTGTGTTCTTGTTTTGGCTAAGGAAAATCAATAAACCACTGATAGGCATGAACAGCTACTTCTTGGGTTTCGGAACGACACTTAATGCCAGAACATATGATTTAATCTCTTATTTTGTTTATTCACAGGAAATGACAACATTTTCAGAGACATAAAATAATGTTGACAATCCTTAATATGTTTTAATCATCAGGTTTATTTTAAATCTTTATTTTTCAGACAAGGAAATATTTTTTTATAGAAAATTTCTTTAGGCCGATAAAAAAAAAAGATTCTTGGTTACGAAGATAAGGAAACAAATACAAACTACGGTCTATAAATTAAAATTCAATATTCTTGAAACGTGTTGACATAAAATCTTTCATAGCACAAATGTGTCACTGTTTGTGCATAATCCTGGTCTTAAGACAACTTCTGGTAAATTCATCATATTAAAAAAAAAAAAATTACAGAAAAAATAACCAAAAACCAAAAGTGCAATAAAGTTATCCAATATAGCCAAAGGTCAATCTGTGAGCAGGCATTTGGTTTCGCTCAAGGCTAATGTCATTTAGAAAGCTATAAAGCCATTGATATGATTAATCAAGAGTGGTCTCCCCTTGTTTTGTTACTCTCCTCTTTAAGAGAGCTATTTCTGTTTACTGGGATTATAAAATGACACAGTGCACGAACCTTGTATTCTCAGTTGAATATTGTTTTATTAAAGCCTACACCTTCGAACTTTTATTATTACAGCCATTTCTTCATTCCTCAACTAAGGGTTAAATAGAAGGGTAGACTTGTCTCTATAGACCTGCAAGGCAGTCAGTCTAACTGCCGGAATACTGAATTTGTAATAATGGAGAACGCAACTACAAACCACTACCTAGATTCTTAATTTTAAAAATTGACCTTAAAGTAAACATGTATATATTATAGAATCAGAAACGAATATACGTTTATAAATTTAACATGTTTCGCTTTCATTTAAGTTTTATCAGAAGTTTATGGGAGTGAAAATTCCGTCACTTTGAGTTCTGTGTTTGTTTTTCATTTGTAATATAGACATTGCGTGTTTTACTTTTGTCGTGTTCGTGTTAGCGCGTTTGAATTCAACTAGGTCTTTTTATTTGCATGTCTAGACGTCTTCGTATCTTTAATTCGCGAAGATGTGAGTGGAATGATGACTTGTCTGTATGTTTGTATATCATACTTCTAGTAGGTCTTGCGGAATGGGTTATGTCGGTACGTGTGTTGATTGGGGACCGTTTGGCGTGTATCAGCATGAGAAAACTTAGGGTACTTCGATGGCAGATATCGGGATCAGTGGTTTGTATGTACATGTGTATTTTATCGCATATCATTTTAAGATCTTATTTACAATACCAAATATTATCTACATACTCTTTATCATATTCTACGGTGTGTATATCAATATAACTCTTCTTGTTTAATTGTTTTACTTGTAACATTGTGTAAATGTGTTATCAAAACATTTCATGTACCAAAATAAAGACTCGTTATAATTCATTGTCTCCTGCTAAAATTTCACGGTAAAACACTGGTTCCCGTACGATCACCAAAATTAAGCAATGTCGAGTTTGGTCATTACCTAGATAGGTGACCTCTTGGGAACCCCAGTTGTTGTAATCTTGGATGTATAAATAATGTGAGGGATAACGGTTCGATATTAATTGGCGAGCCGAATTTCAATTCTGTTTGGGATCGTTATATTTAAATTAGGCTAAAATAACACTGGAAAATTTATGAATTCACGTCTTTCCCCCCACAGCTATTGACTAAGTAGTAACACGTTCTCATTAGATCATCTCAAAATATTTACTACATAAAAATAATTGCTGGCTTTAAGTAACCTGCAACGAGTTGATTAGCCGTGAAAAACGAATCACGTAATGAAGATAAATTTACATTTTCTGAAAACTGTTGTGGAGGTTAGAAGAAGAGGATCCGTATCTTTTCCTTTTCCCTAAGAGAATGCAACGGATTTGATGTGAATTCGAACTCGGCTCTCCGACTTCTTCAATCAGAGCCGCTAGACATTATCCCGCTGCGCCATAATTTACGTATTATTTCCGGAAATGTTTTACAATCTAAAATATTTTCTGGCTTTCACGTTTTTTTTTTATTTTATTTTACGGTCTAAAGTTTTGTTTTAGCCGTATTGTACAGGAAAATCTAACAATCAGTGAATACCAAGGAGTTCCAACTCTCTCGTTTTGTTTTTAATTATAAGGATTCCTTCATTTTCCATCTTTAAAATTTCGTCCTTGATCATATCTTCGGCGCATGATATTCTCAAATTCGGTCTGTAGGACTATAACTACATCGCTTCGAGATAGCTTTTCATCTGTATTAAAGTTGTCCAGCTTTCACTGCGTCAAAGTGGGGTAGGTATTATATAGTACTTCAGCATTCTTTCCTTTGTTTCTGATGGAATTTCCTTTTTTTAATACATTACCGAGCAGCCCCTTCTTATTTGTGTCAATGAGCACTCGTAGATTTGTCTCATGCAGGGGAACATATATCGTCTTTTTTACGCTTATTTGATACTTCCTACGTTAAGTTTTCCTCCGTTGCCTGATCTAGGATTTAATTATTCTTCACTGCCTGTCATCAACGAAGTAGCATCCGCGTATTTGTTTGTTAGTATTATCGTCACGGATAATAAATCCTGGTAGCTTTTAAAGTTCTACAAGGGTTGTTTTCTTTTAGAGGTTAAATTAATCGGAGAGAAAACATATTCTTGACTTGTTCCTCTTTCTGTTTTTGTATACTTTCATCATTTTTTTTTCTTATCTACATGCAAGCGTTTTGTTTCCAGTAAATGTTGAAGATTATTTTCTTTACCATATAAGTCCATCTTTCGTAAGTGTTCGATTACATTTTGGTGCTGACCCATGTAGACGGTTTCACGTAATCTAAGGAACCTTAGTATAGGTCATTTTGTATTTTATTGCTTGGTTTGATAGCAATCTGATCAAGAATATATAACTTCCTTTTCCGTATTGAAATTAAAATAGGCCTCCGAAAGAATAACTTTTATACTCGTAAGAAATCCTATGGTTATACTAATGATTAGTGCGTTCTTGACACAAGTAGTCTTGGCTTTTTACTACTTCGTTTTTTATCTCTAAATTAAGACCTTTTCAAAAATATAATAACTGGGGTCTTCATTTCGTTCTCCGGTTACGAATTTAGAGTTGTCCCAAGATAGTCTGGGTACTTCATTCTGCGCTACTATTTTCCCACAGCTGGAGTAGAAATCATGGATTTTGTGGAGTCGTTGGTTAAGCGGGTGTCTCATTTTGAATTAGAAATCAGTCCGTCAATTACAGTATCAACATTGATTATAATCCTGCCATCATCGCTTCCTAGAAGTGAGTAATAAACTATTTATGTTCAGGCAATGTTTGAACAGGGAGCTTTATAAATATCAATTTACCGCTGGTGAACTTGATAAGCTATCAGTCAGTTTTGGGTGTAAAGCGTGATACACGCTTAGGCAATCACGTATCTTTTCGATACATAACTGATATTTTCCTGCCATTTCTTTCTGCTGTAGACCAGTTGTCAAGGTTATAGAACCCGTTCTACCCTTCTATTTGCCCATAGCTGTGGGGAGAAGAAGAGGATTCATGCCTTTTCCAAGGTTATTAGCACGTAAGGAAATATGATGAAATTCGAACTCGACTCTGCGATTCTCAATCTGAGCCGCAATCCAATGCTCCACCGTGCTTCCATGATAAGTTATATGTTTTAATAATTTTGCTATTTCTCAATGTTTACTGCAATTATAAATTCCTCGGAAAAGTCTTATCCGTGGTTTCACTTAGGCGTTTTCTGCTCCAGAAATAAACAATTCATAACGTTAATTTTGGAATCATCACAATGAGGAAAAGTTACCCTGAAAATTTTTATATGCCAGAGAAAATTTGATATCAAGTAGTAAAACATTAAATTTGTAACCAAATGTGTGATTCAAGCTTACTTATATAAATCAACCAATCCTTTCCATTGTAGACTGTAGTGTAATTTTTTTTTTTTAAACCCCAGTACGGTAAATGTTGTTGTCACTGTTTCCATATCTCCAAACCCAAATTAGTAATATTTCATCGGTGTGCAGACCTGGGATTTAAACCCCCTTTGATGAATGTTTAACCTCATTATGAGACGCTTTCCTCTTAATATTGATTGGAGATCATTCCGCTGCAAACAAGGTAAAATCTTATGTGATTAACTGGTAAAGATGCTGATAAATTATCGACTCCTTTCGAACGCTCTTTTTCTTTACAGGAGTCAGATTAGACATGAAATAATATCGCTACCATATCTGGGTTGGAGCTACACAATCCGTTCAGTTTAAAAGCGCTTACGCATCCTTGTAGGCGATGAATTGTTTTCAAGCCTTATTAAACTTTCCCACAAACGAAACGTCGCTAGGAGGCTTACGGCCATATAAAGTTGAAACAGCGGTTCCCTTATTGACGCCGAAGTTATGTAATGTCGCACCTGGTCAGTAACTAGATGAGTGGCCCCTTGGAAATATCAGAAGCTTTAAGCTAGGATGTGAGGGCGGGGTAATAGATAATGACACGGAATTGTAAATCGGAGATCTGAATTTCAATTCCAGTTGGAATCGCTATATTCACTTTGGTGGAAATACCCTTAAGAAAGGTATGAACTCACATCTATCTTTTTCCCCAACTATGGGTTAATTAGTAACACTTGTATCACTAAATCATTATCATAAAAAAAGATTCTTGAAATGTAAAAATATTTTTGGCCTTAAATAACCGGCAATTGTTTTATCAGCCATAGTAAACGAATCGATCAAGAAAGGCCGCTAATATATTTTTTCATGGTATATAGTGTGATTAATTTTGTAAATCAGGTGTCACTGATATCTTTCTATCGAGAGTCAAGTTTTATTACTGGTAATATTTTTCCCAAAATGTATTGCTGATAATTTTTTTCTAATAAAATATCAAAGTTTATACTTTTCAATTTGTTTTAGCCACAGTTTAGGTGTTAACGATTTGCCCGTATCTCGTATCGGGGTGAGCTATCACCCCGGGTCAGGGGGTACATGGGAAGAACAGCAATTTATAAGTGTTTCCACGCGCCTCAAACCTCCCGATCAGAGGTCTTGCTGTTGGATCTAGTTCATCGTCATATCCGGAATGCATGGTATATGTTCAGACTGTTTGCATTCTCTAGTTCAGATATTTAGCTTTAAGAGCCACCATACCACGTACAGTATCAATTCGTTCGTATAACATTGGTAACAAGGAATTTTCACTCTTTATTGACATTGCTTAGACTGTTGCCCTCATCATCATTGTATATTCACGAATTTTCGGCCCTTATACGCTCCGGCCTTATTCAGATTATTGGAATTTCGAAATGAACCATTTATTTCGTTCAACGGGCTAGATTGTTCTAGTTCCACGTGCCATGCCTCTTTGAATGTCTCCCTATCAGTTATCACCCTTTAGCTCAACTCTCCATTTGTTTGTTTACCTATGCTATAGCGAGGTATTGGTCTAGTGGATAAAAGAGTTGACTGAATTCAGTGACTTGACCCAAAATGGTAATGAGTTCAATACCTGGCTGCAGCAGAGGTGAACAAAAAAATGGACAGTTGAGTTGAAGAGAAATAACAGATAAAGGGAGACGTCCGGAGATGTGTGGCACGTGGAACTAGAACAACCTACCCCAGTAGATGGAATAAAGGGTTCAGTTCGTAATTCCAAACACCTGAAGAAAACCGGAGTGTACAACGGCTGAAACGTCGTGAATATGGCAGCGATGATGGGGACAGCAGTTTGAGCAATGTAAATAATGTAAATAATTACAACCCCAGCAAAGTATTGCCAGTTATTCCATTGTTTATTATCCCTCCCCCCAGATAACGGAACACATTGAGGAACACTTCCGAAATGATATCTCTTCCGATTACTATAATTTAAACTTCAGGTGTGTAGTCGAACATTGTCAATCATACATAGATTCATAATCTAAAATTCCTCCTCAAAATAAATATCGTGTCTAATTGTTAACTGAAGATGTGATGTATGTGTTTCTCTCGCATTAGTTTACTTACTGTAAAACTCAAGCTCATTAATTAAGTTCCATCTTTTTTTCTGGTATCGATATATTTTAATGATTGGTCCTGATCAGGCTTCGGTTCCTTTCCAATTGTTGTAATGTAGTCTCCATGTGCCTTTTTCCTTTAGTTACTTTCAAGGTAATTTTTCAGATGAAGTTTCCGATATAATACCTAGAATTCATGCATTTAAAAGTGGAGTACTAATTTGGTGAAATGATCCCACCAATGTAGCGTTGAACTGATTAGTTGCAACCGGAACTTCTTTCGCACTTTTCAATTGGTGAACTTTATTTGATCTTCAAAAGTTTAAATGTAATGTCTTGCGTTATCTACTACCTTATTGATTATTCTTCTTTTATTGTTCTCGCCCTTGGATAATGTTTCGGTTATATCTCGTGCAAGATATAATAAACAAAGTAACCCGAGTGTTGGTTTTCAATAATAGGTTTATAATCGGATGTAGGTGTGTCAAGTACAGAGACAGAGTCGGGAGTATGCTAACCTCAATAGGTGTTAACAAA